ATTTAAAAACTTATCTTTTTAACCTAGCCTTTAGTTAGTGTATTGTTACAGTGTACATATATAATTTAACCATTTTCAGTTTTATTATTTTAATTCCTTTCTACACTGTACTCACTATATTTTACGTGGAGTATGTCTAAGAGTGTATGGTCTACTCTCACACACACTTTTACAGATGAATGTTTTACTGTCTTGAGTTACCTGTGAAGCACTTTGGGCAATGAACGTTGCTATTAAATGTGCTATATAAATAAATAAAAGTTGAAGTTGAAGTACTAGTCATCTGGTGCGTAACGTCTTGGAGATGTTGTCCGACAGCACAGCCGCTCCGATTCGGCTGGGATGGAGTCCATCTGCACGGTACAGCCTGGGTCTCTCCCAAAACAGATGCCAATTATTTACAAAGAGCAGTTTCTGTTCATTACACAATGACATTAACCATTCATTTAAAGCAAATAGTCTACTGAACCTTTCCTGTCCTTGTATGAACGTGGGAAGTGGTCCAGACACGATGATCGCTGATTTAGGCGCTGTGCTGTGTACCGTCTCGATCAGGCTCCTGTAGTCCTTCTTCAGAACCTCCGTCTGCCGCAGCCTGATGTCGTTTGCTCCCGCGTGCAGCACAACAGCTCCGACGCGCTCGTCACCGTTCAGGATCTCGGGAACCTGTGCAGCGGCATCGAGAACACGAGCACCAGGAAAGCAGTGAGTGCGCGCCTTACCTTTACCCGAAGTAGCGCGAACATGACGGACCATGGATGTGCCGATGATGACGGCATCGTCGCGTTCCGGCTCGCGAAGAGGGGAGAAGTGGTTCCGGGTGGAGATCTCGAAGATATCAAAATGCCAAAACTTTACTCGCAGCTATTGTGAAGGAAGGTGCTAAAAACAAGGTTTGTAAGTTAATTCTTTATAACCTATAAATTCAGTAAGAATATAGAGATAATGATTGTAAGAAAATATTGAAGAAAATATTGCTCTCTGTAAGATTTTCTATAGCTTTCTTTTTTTACATAAATGATCAATTAACTAAAATTGTGATTTTTCTATGTGGATTAGATTGTACAGAGAATTAAAATTAATTTATACAGCTAGACACATAAATTGTACACATAAGTTAACACATAAGTTGCTGGGTTTTTTTAAGTTACAAACCTGTTCACCCGGAGAAAAACTCGATGAAGTGTTACTACAAGACATCCTGTCATAGCATTTTTGGTACATAACGGCAACCGTAGATGCAATACGCACTTGAAAAAGCGAGGCGCTGGAGAGCAAAATTCGTTTGAATGCAAAATACTATTTAACCACTAGATGGGGGTAATTCCTACACAGAGTCCCTTTAACGTTATGGATACAATATTTTATATTTTATTAAGCTGTTCTTGTCTTTACTAAAATCGAAATTAGATAATCAAAGGGAAGAGTGCTCTTAAAGATCACGAGGGAGCGATTTGACCGTTGATTTTGGCTAACGTAATAGACTCGCTGTTTTTGCTGATGCTGAATCGTCTTTAGCATACAATACATTCATTACAAATGTAACTACGTTAAACGTGTGTTTTAACTACACCTGGGGAAACTCACTTCACCTTCAGAGGCTCTGGGGCAGCTCAGTCTCTCCAGCCAGGTTGCAGGGCCACTCCACCGCCCCACAGCAGACTCACTGTGTCTGTGTGAGAGCCAGAGCGAAAGCCACTCTGCTGCACGTTGAATCAGGGGGAGGGGCTAATAATAGGCTACATTTAAAATGACAAAATTAAATTGTTACTTTTTGTAAATGTATTGTTTATTTCACTATTTTGAGATGCGTGTGGAGTGGCAGGTTGTTTTTACAAGTAAATTTTTTTGGATCATCAAAGTTGAACCGCCCCTGTTGATGAGGTTCGACGCAGTCTCCAGTGTGGTACCCTCTTCCTGAGGGTCCCGTGGTGGCTGTTGAGGTTTGCATCTCGTGAGCCTCTTGTGCGGCGTGAATGTCAAGTGTCAGGGTGTGGTTGATTACCGTAGGGGTACCCAGCGCAGAATCAGCTGCAGTCCAGGTCTGGACAACATGTGAGGCAGTTGTGCAGTGCAGTGCAACAGGTGTGCAGTTGAGACACAGCTGGGAGGTCTATGTCGCTGGGAACAAGTTCAGTTTCGGCTGGGCCCCCCCTTTTCACCGTTCATAATTCCAGTTCTGAAATCAGGGTGAAATCGTGGGTTTCGTAAAGGATGGGACTTGACTCAGGCTCAGTCGCAGCAGGGTAGCTCGGGTCTTGGAGCAAAGGCTGCTTGGTGAATTTTAGCAAAGTCATTCTGGCAGACAGTGAACAGTTGTCTCGCTGGAGCTCATTTGTCTGGTTCAGTAGAATGCTGTGAGCGTTGCGGATTTATCACAGTTCCTCTCAATTTCTTGATGGTCTGTGTGGAGGCACTCTGTGTTGTGAGTTACCTTTTGGCTGTGGGATTTCAGTTCGTTTTGTTGCTGGACATGCCGGTGTTTGACTGCGTTCTGACAGCAGCAGCGTAGGTGTCCATTTAGCTCTGCTTGCGTGGCAGTCGACCATATGCTGCCTGATGTCGGACCCGGCGGTGAGACGGTCGACTGCAGCTGTCCTCTGGTTGGCTGGAGGCACAGGAAGACAACCACAGCAGCATCCTATAACAGAGACAAGGGAGAGAGAGAAAGGGAGGAAAGAATTCAGCGGCTGTCGGCTGGGACAGTCTGATGCCTTTGAGGATGCCGAGATGCCCTGGTGCTGCGGTGTGCCGCCCACATGGTGCGTGACTGGGCATACACTTGCATACTGGCATACCCCCCTTTTGCACTGTGGCAGCACAAGCTGTGGCGAAGTGATGTCACGAGGTGCATAAATCTCAGGTGTTGGGCCGTTTAGCAGCATGTGCTTGGTGAGCTGCAGGTGTTGGGTTCGACGGCAGGCTTGGGCGGTCGGAGGGGTAGAGAGGTGGTTTTCTCAGAGTTCATTTGGTTAGTCAAAGTCTTTGGTAAGCTGAAAGGTGTAGGGTAGCAAGTTCACCTCTCCATTTGGTGCTGAGGCTGTGCCTTCATGGCTGGCTGCGGGAGTTCTTGTGACCTCTGTGACCTGCCAGTCAGGTTCTCGTGACCTGTGTGACTGGAGGGGGAGGGGTTCTTGAACTTGAGCTCAGACATTCAGTTGTTTAAAGTCTATTAAGGGCTCGAAGCGATCTAACAGATCTTGGCCAATCAGAAGTGGGTAGGTGATCGTTCGTGATCGGTACACTGGGTGTATTAGGCTCATAGGACCAATTGTTGGGTGAATGAGAGCTACCTGTTTTGAGCCAGATGTTGTTTTGGCTGTAGGATTCTACATTCAGCTCACATGTATGGGATTTGAGAGTTCGTTCTTGACTCTTTGCTTTAGCAGCGAGTCTTTCAAAGAGTTGGGCTGACATTAGCGTGATGTTTGAGCTAGTGTCTGGCAGGCCTTCAAGGCTCAAATGATTGTCTCTGGTGGTGGCTATGTAGAGTTTTTGTGCCACCCCCTTTTGTTTAGGTTTCCCAGAAGTCTTGGCGTCTGGGCTGGTGTTGTGATCAATGAACGGTTAGGGCCGGTCTTGTGTGGGACACCGGACTGTCATGCTCAGGTTGTGCAGCTGTCAGCGGTGGTGTCTGCTTGATCCTGTCACTTTGTGATGTGACAGTAAGCGCTGTGGTCTGATGCTGACGAGCAGTGTTCTGGGTGTCTGTGACGTGGCTGCACTGTTGTTGTCTGATATGTGCTCAGACTTGTGCTTACCAGTGGCGTGTTGAGAGGGGTACCGCTCTGGGCTGGTTGGGCTTGAGTCTCTTGGTGGTGGGGTGCGGCCCATTCTGGGTCGCCGGCTGGCTTCCAGAAATGTTTCAGAGCTCTTGCTCTGGTGCGTTAGATGAGCACCATGACTGTTATGTTGCCCTCTGCTGGCCTGGAACGGTTTAACTCTCAGTGAAGGTGTTTGTGATTTGTGGGGTGCCTTCTAGAGGCAGCTCTGAGTCGTGCTCAGAGACAGGTTAGTTTGAGGGTTTTTACAGTCTTTTCGGACAAAGTCTTTGCTTAATGTGAGCTTTGTGGGCCCAGTCTCGTAGCTGAAGTAGACATGCTACGAGGACAGGCCAGGGTGCTTACGGAATAACTCACTATGGGATGCAGGAACAAAGTTTTAAAACTGGCATCCTTTCATACCTGGTGGTTTGCGTTTCAAAGTAGGCTTGTCGAAGTCAGTGGAGTTTCAAGCTGGTCTTGCTTGATGTCCACGTCGGTGCTAACCCTTGGTCTGATTCTGGATCAGGGAGTTAAGTGATCAAAGCTCAGTCCCTCCAGGATTTTGCGGGCCTTTTTTGTGATTGTTGCGGCCTAAAATGCCTGATGTTGCGGCCGCTTTTTTAAAAAGTTGCGATAAAAGTTGCGATGTTCTTCTGCATGTTTTTATAGGTTAAAACGGCAAAGATAGATAGATTTTTACTTAAAATGCCCATATTATGATTTTTGGCTTTTCCCCTTTCCTTTATTGTGTTGTTATATTTTTTTGTGCATGTTATAGGTTTACTAAGAGAGAAAAGTCCAAAGTCCACCCCAAAGGGACTGTCCCACAGAAAACACTGTTCATCATCTGCATCTGCTCTATTGTAGTCCAGAATTGACTTAAGAGACAAAGTCACACTCTTTGTAACACACGAACAAACTAACTAACCATTAGTAAACATAAAAGGCAAAACAAACGATTTAAAGACACAGCAAAACCTAAGCTTCTTTTTTTTTTTTTAAACAAGATCTGCACCTGCAAAAAAGTCAATGTGCAGAACCTCACAAACATTAAGCAGCATTTATGTTGAAAGATGCCAATACTAATAAAGTGCAAAATACAGTTTTAGGAATAGCCACTAAAGTTAAATGGTGGAAAAACCAAATGTTTGATAATGTATTTTAATATAGCTAATATAATATAATATAGCCGCATATCCAATAAAGCTGTTCTCATTTGCTTTTTTTTTTGTCAGATAATAGAACGAGTCGGCTAGCTATTTTTTATGTGTAAAATTTTCTGAATTGAGAGAGTTCGGGAACTGGGTGAACTAATGCACTGTGATAGTGAGTAGCCTATTACAAGTGATAAACACAAGAAAAGAAAGGAAAATAAAATGGTCAAACTCAATTCGTTAAATATAAAACAAAAGAGAAGCAGATAAGTGATAAGTCCGTGGAAACAACACTGCTCATTCGCGTCTGTCAGCTGCCGTGCTGCTCCTCTACTGCAGCCGTTCACTGAACAGGGACGCAGAGAGAGGTGTGACGGCAGGGAGAAAGCAAACCTCGCGCTCGCAGGATTGTGCTGGCAACATTTGGTTACTGAGGTTTGTCCAAAAAGCCGCTAGATTTTTCTCTAGTCGCTTTTTTATATCACTAAATATAGCGACAAAGACTAAGTTGGCAACATTGGCCTTTTATTTTATTTTTGTAGGTAGCCTAAATGTGAGACGTTGGCAGTCCACATCTGCTGCGTCTTCTGAACAAAACAAGTGAGTTTGCTGACGTATGACGACGCTTTGCAGGAGACCGCGGCGCGATGATTCGTCAAAGTTGCAGAAAAGTTGCGGTGATTTTTCAAAATTGCAAGGCGCACTGAATTCACGTGGATTTGTTGAAGTTGCGTTAATAGTTGCGATCGCGACATCGCGAAATCCTGGAGGGACTGAAAGCTTATTGCAACAGCTGATAGTCCATTTTGACCGTCTCTGTTTGACGATCTAGGAAGCTGTGCACCTCACGACTGGACATAATCCATATCAAGCAGAATCTGTTTCATGCAGTCAGGTTGGTTAGACAGTTTGCAAGTGAAAATCTTGTCTGCATGTCGTGGGTTGATGCAGGGTTCTGAGGGAATGTCGGGACCTTTCTGGTTAGCTTTGTTACATCCTTTTTGGAGCCATGCCATGGTTTGGGGCAGTGGTTCCTTGGAAGGTTGAGGTCAGGTTAAGCAGGGGCTCTGTGGCATTCTGGCACACTTGTTGTGAGTGACTAATGCATGGCCCTAAAAGTTCAGAACTACTGCTTAATAGGTTCGTTAAGTATTTAGCATAAAGCTAAGTGTCTCTTGTGTCCTTATCTTAGCTGTGAATGTTAGGGCTAAGTCTTGTGTGGTTCCGAGAGTATTTCCTGGAAAGGACATATCTGAGATGAAATAAATAACGTAAGGTGGTTCTTATGACTAAATTATTTCTCTGGACTTAGCTGGTTGTTCACTACGGCTCGACGAAGTGAACGATAATAGGAAAAGGACAACTTTCTTATTTAAATTCTGCTTATTATCGATCCTCAGGACCCTAGTAAATTGTTTAAATTACTTGTGTTGCAGGGTCACAAAACGAGTGCACTGTTTAAAACTAAGCCAAAATAACAAATAAGGGTGTCTCTGTTTGCTTTCTGGGCCCTATGGGAAATGGAACCACACTCGGACAAGAGAGGAAAGGAAATTAAATCATATAGATGACTTAAGGGAATAGCTGCTTGCTATTATTATCAAGGTCAAAGGCATGAAATAATTAATGAGGAAAAATAAAATTAAAATTAAAGCTGCAAGCAGCGATGGGCGGGCCCTCGCACCTGTAGCACGTCGGGGTGTGAGGCGACCGCGTTGCATATTCTGCGGTTCAGCCGGTGTGGCTGTGAATTTGCTTTGCTGCTTCGTTAAAAGTCACTTCCTGTTGCCAGCAGGTGGTGCTATGACTGTGGGTGAATGTCTGCATGTTGATTTGTTCAGGGCAGGACTCTTGTCAAATGTGTAAAATTTCGTGCTGGATCTGGGCATTTACAGCCAAGTTACTACAACTTCCTGTTTCATGGCGAATCATCGACGCCACGGACATGCCCATCGATGAAAACACGCAGAGAGCACAACTTTACATCGTCAATGCCTTTAGAAGGCACAGCAGAAATTTGAAGTCGATCCGACTAAATCCCTAGGAAGAGTTCGTTAAAGTACGGAGTGTGTAAATCGTCCCAAAATGGGCGCCAAATTCAAAATGGCGGACTTCCTGTCGAGTTTAGGGTATGGGTTCTTGAGGCTTTTTTGTACGTCTGGTCATGGTAGATGTACCACAGAAATTTCGTACATGTCGGTCAAACAAGCGGCGGGGGCTGCTTCGTTAAAGGTCACTTCCTGTTGCCAGCAGGTGGCGCTATGACTGTGGGTGAATGACGGCATTTAGATTTGTTCAGGGCGGGACTCTTGTCAAATGTGTAAAATTTCCTGCAGATCTGGGCATTTACAGCTAAGTTACTACAAATTCCTGTTTCATGGCGAATCATCGACGCCACGGACACACCCATCGACGAAAACGCGCAGATAGCACAACTTTACATCGCCAATGCCTTTAGAAGGCACAGCAGAAATTTTAAGTCGATCCGACTAAATCCCTAGGAGGAGTTCGTTAAAGTACGGAGTCTGTAAATCGTCCAAAAATGGCCGCCAAATTTAAAATGGCGGACCTCCTGTCAAGTTTAGGGTATGGGTTCTTGAGGCTTTTTTGTGCGTCTTGATATGATACACGTCCCCACCAAATTTCGTGCATGTAGATTGAACGTGGACGAGGGGCTAATTTTTTCCAATTTTCTAGGTGGCGCTAGCGTGCCATTTTGCCCCGCCCATCCGCGAAACCCACAAAATACGAAATTTTTCACCAGTCCTGACATGCGTGCCAAATTTGGTGAGTTTTTGAGCATGTTGCGGCCCCGAAAATGGCACTTACTTTGCAGAAAAAATAAAAAAAAATAAAATAAATAATAATACTAACAGTTTCAATAGGGTCCTCGCACTGTTAGTGCTCGGGCCCTAATAACCCTAACAGTTTCAATAGGGTCCTCGCACTGTTAGTGCTCGGGCCCTAATTAAAGCAAAAGGAAATAAAATTAAAGCTGCAAGCAGCGATGGGCGGGCCCTCGCACCTGTAGCGCGTCGGGGTGTGAGGCGGCCGCGTCGCATATTTTGCAGCTCAGCCGGTGCGGCTGTAAATTTGCTACGCTGCTTCATTAAAGGTCACTTCCTGTTGCCAGCAGGTGGCGCTATGACTGGGTGAATGTCGGCATGTAGATTTGTTCAGGGCGGGACTCTTGTCAAATGTGTACAATTTGGTGCAGATCTGGGCATTTACAGCCAAGTTACTACAACTTCCTGTTTCATGGCGAATCATCGATGCCACGGACACGCCCATTGAGGAAAACACGCAGATAGCACAACTTTTCATCGTCAATGCCTTTAGAAGGCACAGCAGAAATTTGAAGTCGATCCGACTAACTCCCTAGGAGGAGTTAGTTAAAGTACGTAATGAGTAAATCATCCAAAAATGGCGGTGAAATTAGAAATGGCCGACTTCCTGTTGAGTTTAGGGCATCGCTCCAAGAGACTTTTCTGTGCGGCTGGACATGGTAGATGTACCACTGAAATTTCATACAGGTCGGTCAAACATGCGACGGGGGCTGCTTCGTTAAAGGCCACTTCCTGTTGCCAGCAGGTGGCGCTATGACTGTGGGTGAATTTCTGAATGTAGATTTTTTCAGGGCGGGACTCTTGTCAAATGTGTAAAATTTTGTGCAGATCTAGGCATTTACAGCCAAGTTACTACAACTTCCTGTTTCATGGCGAATCATCGACGCCACACACACACCCATTGACGAAAACGCGCAGATAGCACAACTTTACATCGTCAATGCCTTTGGAAGGCACAGCAGAAATGTGAAGTCAATCCGACGAAAGCCCTAGGAGGAGTTCGTTAAAGTACGTAATGAGTAAATCATCCAAAAATGGCGGTAAAATTCGAAATGGCCGACTTCCTGTTGAGTTTAGGGCATCGCTCCAAGAGACTTTTCAGTGCGTCTGGACATGGTAGATGTGCCACAGAAATTTCGTACATGTCGGTCAAACATGCGACAGGGGGCTGCTTCGTTAAAGGTCACTTCCTGTTGCCAGCAGGTGGCGCTATTACTGTGGGTGAATGACAGCATGTAGATTTGTTCAGGGCGGGACTCTTGTCAAATGTGTAAAATTTCGTGCAGATCTGGGCATTTACAGCCAAGTTACTACAACTTCCTGTTTCATGGCGAATCATCGACGCCACGGACACGCCCATCGACGAAAACACGCAGATAGCACAACTTTACATCGTCAATGCCTTTAGAAGGTACAGCAGAAATGTGAATTTGATCCGACTAATTCCCTAGGAGGAGTTCGTTAAAGTACGGAGTGTGTAAATCGTCCCAAATCGGTCGCCAAATTCAAAATGGCGGACTTCCTGTCGAGTTTAGGGTATGGGTTCTTGAGGCTTTTTTGTACGTCTGGTCATGCTAGATGTACCACAGAAATTTCGTACATGTCGGTCAAACATATGGCGGGGGCTGCTACGTTAAAGGTCACTTCCTGTTGCCAGCAGGTGGCGCTATGACTTAGGGTGAATGTCGGCATGTAGATTTGTTCAGGGCGTGACTCTTGTCAAATGTGTAAAATTTCGTGCAGGTCTGGGCATTTACAGCCAAGTTATTACAACTTCCTGTTTCATGGCGAATCTTCGACGCCACGGACACGCCCATCGACGAAAACGCGCAGATAGCACAACTTTACATCGTCAATGCCTTTAGAAGGCACAGCAGAAATTTTAAGTCCATCCGACTAAATCCCTAGGAGGAGTTCGTTAAAGTACGGAGTCTGTAAATCGTCCAAAAATGGCCGCCAAATTCAAAATGGCGGACATCCTGTCGAGTTTAGGGTATGGGTTCTTGAGGCTTTTTTGTGCGTCTTGATATGATACACGTCCCCACCAAATTTCGTGCATGTAGGTTGAACGTGGACGAGGGGCTAATTTTTTTCAATTTTCTAGGTGGCGCTATCGTGCCATTTTGCCCCGCCCATCCGCGAAACCCACAAAATACGAAATTTTTCACCAGTCCTGACATGCGCGCCAAATTTGGTGAGTTTTTGAGCATGTTGCGGCCCCGAAAATGGCACTTACTTTGCAGAAAAAAAAAAAAATAAAAAAATAATAAAAAAAAAATAATCCTAACAGTTTCAATAGGGACCTCGCACTGTTAGTGCTCGGGCCCTAATGATCAAAACACGGGAATGATCTGAAGTCGAGAATATTCAGTGGCATTAGTGACTAAACTTTGGATTTGCTTTGATCAACACTCTATAGTGAGTTGTAGCGGTTGCGGGTTCAAAACCACATTGTGTCCCTCCAAAGGTTTAGTCAACATGCCGATGAAAATTCCTATGGTCATACGAATTCTTCTGTAGTTAGTTACGCAGTTTACATGTAGTTAAACTGAAGTTTAATTAACAAGGCATCTGCGAAGTTCGTCTTCAACGGTTAGCAAGGAGTATTCCTAACCCAGCGAAGGTAAACTTTAGCTAAATGTAAACATGAAACGTGAATAATTAGAAACCCTAACTGGTGTTGAGAAAGTATTCTAGAATACTTTGCACTGTGGGACATGAGCGGTGATTAAGCGTTCACGGAAATGATGCTAACTGTTAACTGTGGAGGTTATTCAGCTTAGCCTACGTTGGATGGGAGCTAGGTTAGGTTAGCTTAGCCTAAGTTAGCTTGATGCTAGGCTAGGTTAGCTT